AAAAAATCGCGGGCATAAACAAAGCTCATTGCATTTACATTCAAAACAAAGCAGAAAGTTAGCAAGAAGCTGTTTTAGCTGACGATTTGTTGCTTTCCATTCAACGAATTACAAATTAACGGTTATTCTTTTAAAAGTCGACCATGAATTCTTTGTTTTGGGATGATTTGTTTTGTAATCGAGTGATTGGAAGAAGTTAATATGGCGACGTGAACATGGGAGTAAACACCGTATACGTCGATCTATGGCTTGTTTAAAACCGTAACAAACGAAGAAAGACGTGATATGAGAATGAAATGTAAGTTGAAATTAAATTTATATGCCTCAAATTTTCCATCCTATGTTTCATAATGTAACTTCAGCTGTCTAAGTTCAAAATACAAACTCGCGAAATTTGACAAATTTTGAAAATATGTAAAAATAGCTTGACTTTGAACTGCATTTTCTCAAAAATAGCCCGTGGCCTCAATTTCAAATATAGCTAAATGAAAAGAAAAAACTTTTCGGCGTTTGTAGGTATCAAACATATCGTCAGGAAAATAGGGGCTCACAATGTTTTAGTTCAGTCTTTGAGACCCAGTTGCTTCGCACGTGTTGTGGTCAAATTTTTGCCAAGAATCAAAGGCCGAAATGTGAACTTCCTTCATGAAAACCGATTCGAGAAGGGTCTAGTTTGAAAATTTAGCTATTAATTTCGATTTCATGAGCATATTTTGGTTACACGTTAAGTATTTTTGTGCTTGATGAGATTCAAAATTTGTTGTATATTCAAGCCCGGCTTTTGTGTAATTTTGGTGATGACCAGAACAGAAATAAAGATATTTTAAAAACTGGCCGTGGCCTCACGATAAAACTTTCTAAAAATGTTCTCTGTTTCATGTATTTTTATTTGATATCTTAGGTATAAGCGTAAAAATAGGGGCTCATACAGTTTACGAGGTTGTAAAATGCATGACTTGCCTCTATTTTCATGTAAACATTCGAAATTTTTCGACAGCAAAGTAGCAACAGTTTCAGATCGAATGCACACGGACAGCCCACCAGAGACAATGACAGGGTACTGAAATAGAACGTCACTAAAAAATTCTGTATGATTAATTTAGATCATGTCCATTTTCAACATAAAGCAGTCATTTATTTTGTACAAACATTTGGCAATATTTACACGATTGTGCCTTTTTGTAAACACGCGTTGCGTGTATTCCACTCAATTGCGTGACTCATTTTGCTCGCGCATGCTCAGACAAATTTCCCACCTGTTGCAAAAGCATACTTATAGATATACAAATAACAGCAAATCATTATACGATTTATTATGCGAATAACTAATGAATATAGTAATGCATGGTTGCACGCATATCAGTATAATAAACTACACGCGTACAAACCATAGGTATCTTATACAGTATACACTAGATAACCGCATCTCTTTTAGTAAAGTTGAATTCAGAAGCCAAGAGTATTCCAGCGGTTACTCGGTCTCCCATTTGAATAGATGGCGGCCATGTTGGAGTTTTGCACTCGCTAATAAACGCTTAAAAAACAACAATAACTTTCATCATTTGAATAGTTTGAAAATGTATTTGGAATAGGTTTAACTTAATGTTTAAGTTTCCTGTTTAAGAAATAGAAAACATACGAGTCTTCTCATTTCATGGGAATATCCTGAGTCTGCAATCACGGCTTCAATTTTTGAATTGCAAAATAATTAGATGCACTATCTAGTGTATATATAAGATATCTATGGTAGCAATGCAACTAGCTGAAAAATATAAGGAGAATTTCGACGTTTCGATTGAAGACCCTTTGGTTAGTAACTCCAGACAAAGAGCCTTCGCTCGAAACGTCAAAATTCTCCTTATATTTTTCAGCTAGTTGCATTCCTGCCAACGAAAGCTTGTTCATTACAGTATATATCAAAAGCCGTGCTCAACTGCTTATCCTGTATACTGCGCACAAGGCTTTCAAAACAAGCCGGCGATCGTTGGATAACTGGCTCCGTATGATTTTTGGTTGGTATAATTTTTCCCCAGATTTGAATGTAACATACAAACCTCGATTAAACAAAGTAACGTGATTTTCTGTCGAAGTAACAATTCGTGACTCTCCAAGTCAGGCTAAAACGAGAAATTAAAAGTGTATGTAAAATCTGGCCATAAACGCGAATCATCGACTACACGCGTAAAAATTTCCCAGCTTGTCAACGAGATGTGTTCGTATTGCTTGTTCCCAGTTGTTGCCAAGTCTGGAACAAGTTGTTATCATCTTGTAACAAGGTTGATGAGGCCAACAGACTCGCAACAAGTTGTTCCAACAAGTCTGATATCGTCTGCACGTAACAAGTTGATGACAACAAGCTCGTAGCAACTTGTAGCCTGTATTAGACTTTAATTATATAATTCAATTCACTTTCAAACAGGATTTTTCAAGAGGTTTACTTGTGCTGACAACATTTACAAAGTTGTAATAACCTGAAGACGGACAGTAAAACTGTCCGAAACGTTGTTAAAAATAAAGTAAACCTCTTGAAAAATCCTGTTTGAAAGTGAATTGAATGATATAATTAATGATGACCAGAGGTGAAAGTTTTAGAAGAATAATGTATTAGTCTTGTTGGAACAACTTGTTGTAGCAAGTCTGTTACCATCATCAACCTTGTAACAAGGTGATAAGAATGTTCCAGACTTGTCACAACAACTGGGAACAAGCAGTGCGAACACATCCTGATATCGGCTTCACAACAACCTTGTTACGACTTGTTCGCAGATCAGTAACGCATTTTTACGTGCGTGTATGACTGTAAACACTGAAGGAAATCTTTAATCTTTAATAAACGCTTACTTGCTTGGTCCAGATAGGTTTCATCGACTCAAACCGCGGAATGTTTCCTGAACGAAAATGGGAAAATAAAATAGGTATACATTATATATTTACTGTATACCAAATATATACTCTCTAACGGGCTGTTTACAGTATATGGGGCGAGCTAGGCCGGTTTAGGCGAGATCCCGCATTTGTTATTATTTCTTACTAAATTTCATTTTGTGTTTATATGGAAACCGAGCTGGCCCGCCTGAGTGAGATCCCGCTTCGACTGACACGAGATCTCGGGTGACCGCGGGCTGGGAATTTCCAATATAAACGCGAAGCATAGATATCTTATATACACTAGATGGTGCATTTAATTATTCTGCAATTCAAAAATTGAAGCCGTGATTGCAGACTCAGGATATTCCCATGAAATGAGAAGATTCGTATGTTTTCTATTTCTTAAACAGGGAACTTAAACATTAAGTTAACCCTATTCCAAATACATTTTTAAACTATTCAAATGATGAAATTTATTGTTGTTTTTTAAGCGTTTATTAGCGAGTGGGAACGACCAACATGGCCGCCATCTATTCAAATGGGGATAACCGCTGGAATATTCTTGGCTTCAATTTTACTAAAAGAGATGCGCTATCTAGTGTACATAAGATATCTATGACGCGAAGACTGTGGCAACAAAGTACACCAGTATGCCGAAAACAGGCGTACAGCACTACTTTAAAGTCACAAACCGTTGCTATAAGATATACATGAAAGGCGTGCTTTATAGCCAGAAATCGTTGCTATACAATATGCTGAAAACAGACGTACTTTATAGTCTCAAACCAAGGCAATAAGGTATGCCGAAAACAGGTGTACTTTATAGTCTCAAATCGTTGCTACAAGGCATGTCAAAATCTGGCGCACTGTACTTTATAGTGTACTTTATTTATACTGATCTTTGCTATATAAGGCATGTATAACAGTGTGCTTTAAGCCACAAACCATGGTTAGATGGTATGCCAAAAACAGGCGTATTTTATAGCCACATTCAAACCGATATATGTAGATGTATACAGTATAGTTTAAAGAAAGTATCCAGCAGTAAAGCTGATGACAACCAGCACTTGGACGTTTGAAAGGCGTGCATGGGACGTCTTGGTCAAATTAACCATACCACAGTAGGAATAAGGTTACAATAACCAGGACATTGAAGCAAGCGATATGAAGTTAACCCAAATACTGCAACTCTACGTGAACCAGGGAAATTTTAACCCGAGCGTTTATTTATCTTTGTATATACGTACCACTATTGAAAGCGAACAGCAAGTCAACAATCCATTGATGTTCCGAACTTTTAATTGAATCTAGTATAGGATGTGCAAGCTAAAAAACAGAGCAGAAAGTCACCATTATTTTCTACAGTTTCTCTTGAAGAAATAAACTGTTGATTGCAATCTTGCCCAATGCAATGGCTTCGTTTCCATGACGTTATTTTCTCGCACACAATATTTTCCTGAGAAATATATTCGTCCAGGAGACATAGGGATATACAGTAGCGTCTTTAATGCTACAACAAACAAACATAGACCATGCCTGTATATTTAGTTTTTTTTGCAGGTAACCAAAAAATTTTCAGTTAGCCCTGCGTAGTCCAAATTTGCTCGCTTCGCTTGAAGCTTGCAAATTGCGACAGGGGACGAGGCACCGAAGAAATTTTCTTGAGTTAAGTTTCATATTGTCAAAATTGAGTGTTCGCTAATTTGCGCAAACCCAATTGGTGGAAAATTTTCATCTATCAAGCCGAGAACAGAGTTCTGGCTTTTGAAAAGAGAGCTCTAGCTTTTGAAAAGGTAGTTCTGGGATTTCAAAACGGGGTTCTGCCATTTGAAAACGTAGTTCTGGCATTTGAAAACGGAGCTCTGGCATTTGAAAACAGAGTTCTGGCATTTGAAAACGGAGTTCTGGCATTTGAAAACAGAGTTCTGGCATTTGAAAACAGAGTTCTGGCTTTTGAAAACGGAGCTCTGCCATTTGAAAACAGAGTTCTGGCTTTTGAAAACGGAGCTCTGGCATTTGAAAACAGAGTTCTGGCTTTTGAAAACGGAGCTCTGGCATTTGAAAACAGAGTTCTGGGTTTTGAAAACGGAGTTCTGGCATTTGAAAACGGAGTTCTGGCATTTGAAAACGGAGCTCTGGCATTTGAAAACAGAGTTCTGGGTTTTGAAAACGGAGTTCTGGCATTTGAAAACGGAGTTCTGGCATTTGAAAACGGAGCTCTGGCATTTGAAAACAGAGTTCTGGGTTTTGAAAACGGAGTTCTGGCATTTGAAAACGGAGTTCTGGCATTTGAAAACGGAGCTCTGGCTTTTGAAAACAGAGATCTGGCATTTGAAAACTGAGTTCTGGCATTTGAAAAGGGAGTTCTGGCATTTGAAAACTGAATTTTGGCTTTTGAAAAGGGAGCTCTGGCATTTGAAAACTCAGTTTTAACATTTGTAATCTGAGTTTTGGCATTTGAAAACTCAGTTTTAACATTTGTAATCTGAGTTTTGGCATTTGAAAACGGAATTCTAGCTTTTGAAAATGTAGTTCTGGCATTTGAAAACGGAGCTCTGACAAATAGACAGTCAAACAAACAAACAGACAGATAGGCCCCAGTGGACATAGAGTGGGAACGAGATCATTGGAGGCACCAAACATTGGTTACTTTGAAAAACATCAGACATACCAGTTCACCGAAATGATAGATATCACTGCCGAGTAATGCCGCTAGGGCTAAATTGAATGCTCGTTCTTCTTGTTCTTTTGCTGAAATGAAATGTATTTAATTTTTAGGTGGGAAGGAACGTTTCGCAGCTGATCAGCATCTAGCCTCAACACACCTGGTAAGTCAGCAACCTCGATACAGCCCAAAAATCGTAGGGCGTTTCTGTAGTATTGATTAAACGAGCCAGCCGCCTAGATAACGTTTACAAAAATTAGTTTGTAACACCAAGTTCGCACGAAATAATACGAGCAGAATTTACGCGTGCCCACGCTACGCCGTTATAGTTTGTTTACAAATTAAATTAGCACTCATGTAAACTCAAACTAATTCAAATAGAGCAAAGAAAATTGAACGAAAAGCATTCAACGTTACTGTTTTGAGACCTGAGATGCTTGGTTTGCAAGCGGTTCAATAAAGTAACGGCGTTTGTGTTGACACGAAGTCGGGTGCAATAATTGAATATTTTTAGTCGTATCGGACTGGTACGCCAATGGTTGTTGCCGCGTACTTACACAAACTCCGTACTCAATGTGTACTAAGTCATTAAAATAAGGTTCCTAAAGTACAGTTTTCTGAAAAGTATGTTCAGACTACGAGGTACAAAAAGAATCACAATTGCATATACAAACAATCGACTCCAACGTTCCATCAATCCAATCACGTTTCATGTCAAGACATCTCAGACACATGACATGCCAACTACATGTATCAATTACGGTATTGAATACATTGGGCTTGGAAAGGTCATGCGGTACCAGCAAAAAGTACGCAGATAGCAAGAGTTCCGCGTACCTATGTGGTACGTGACTGAAAACAAAGAAATTCCAGACCTTTAAGGTCCAAACACACCGGACGCGATTCGACAACGCGACGCGATTTTTCAGTTTTTGAAAGTTGATAAAACAGCCAATGAGAGCAAATTTTGAAAGTTACATGTATATAGACCAAGTAACTCAAAATGTTAGAGCGCTTCTAAATATTTGGAAAATTTAAAATAGGATCAAAGTTATCGGTCAATGAAAATCGAAAAATCGCGTCTCGTTGTCGAATCGCGTCCGAACAACGTACTGTAGTGTAAACGTACTGTAGTCTAGAAATTTAATAAACGCTGCACAATTATATTTAGTAGTATAGGTACACGTGTGAAAATCTCACAGCTTGACAGCTTGTCAACAAGATGTGTTCGCAATGCTTGTTCCCAGTTGTTGCCAAGTCTGGAACAAGTTGTTGTCATCTTGTAACAAGGTTGATGAGGCCAACAGACTCGCAACAAGTTGTTCCAACAAGTCTGATATCGTCTGCACGTCACAAGTTGATGACAACAAGCTCGTAGCAACTTGTTACGTGAACAGCCTGTATTAGTCTTGTTGGAACAACTTGTAGCAAGTCTGTCGCCGTCATCAACCTTGTAACAAGATGATAACAACTTGTTCCGATCTCAAATTTAAATCTCATTAAATAAGGGTCAGATTCCAGGCTTTTTAACATCTGATATTTTAATATTGTAGAATAAAAAATTAATGTGTTAATACGGCGACATTACCTTATCATAACCGGACGATAAGTCGTAAAATCTAGCGTGGACTGTCGTAATACCATCTATATTATCAAGTAGTGTGTTCACCTCTTCAATTATCTCCTAAAAAATCATAGTTATAAAATAAAAATGTCATCTAATGAGAGAAAAAGATTAAGACATGACCGTACTATAGTATATTAACTAACTAGACACATTGGCTGATTGTCTGATGAATACATTGAGCGCCAGCTCTCTCCCCTTGATGAGTAAAATTGGCTGGCATTAGACAGAGTAAAATAATAAAGTAGGGTGTACTGTATTAGGCTGAAATGAAACTTAATGGGTTAACTAGACACATAGGCAGATAGTCTGATTAACACATGGAGTGCCAAGCTCTCCCCCCTTGATGAGTAAAATTGTCTGGCATTAGACAGAGCAAAGTAATAAAGTAGGGTGCATCAGGGTGAAATGAAACTTAATGGGTTAACTAGACCCATGGGCTAATAGTCTGATTAACACATTGAACGCCAGCGCTCTTCCCTTGACAAGTAAATTTGT